GGTCTGTTTACTCGCTGCATCTGTAAGCTGTGCAGACCAAAGGGAGCATCTTCAGCACCGCGCTTGAGCAGCACACAAAGCCCTCACAGGGGGGTAGGTGCCAGCCAAAAACACAGCTCAGCCCAACCCTCTGCCACCCTGCTGCCTTCCCCTGCTCCCCACGTAAGGCAGTCAGTCCAGACAAGCATTTGTACATGCAATCAGGAAAACTAAATGCACACAGTTACGAAGATGAAAACTCAAACAGAAACGTGCACAGAAGCATTTGGCAACCAACAGGGTTGTTAAATGATGCCCAGGAGCCAGATTTTCAGTAAATCAGAATGGCTCTATGAATGCTCTGTCCCAGCGTATGAGCAAATATCAAAGAGCTCAAAAAAGAGACTTGTGCAGCAAGCATCAGAGCACAGCAAGCTCCTCGTGCTACCCTGAATCAGACAGACCCTGTTGTTCCTAGCTGGCACGTACAGACAGGAGAAAAAATTCCCTGTTGGTTGTCCCTGAGATACAGGAGGGCTGATCAGAAGTGAACAGCCGGAGTTTATTGGTGTTATTCTGAATTGACTTTGGCCTCTAAACCAGAGCTGACTGTTGCACAAGTACTTACTTAGCACAGTGCGGGAGGCTGGATCCTCGGCTGCTTTCAGTCCATTCACTCCCCGGCACGAACGATGCCAATTCAGATCAAACCCTATTGTACACTAATGACATTCAGACAGCACAAGCCAAGTGCTGGGAGCAGCTGAGCTCTCCCACTGCCTGGTGGGTTCAGGAAGAGTTACAGGTGTAAGATTTGGCTTGGCTGCTTTGGTTTTTTCCTCATCTATTTTCATACACATTTGAGCCTTTCATGACATGCTGCAAAATTCCAGACACAAAAATTATCTTCAAACAGATCCTTTTTTTTTTCTTTTGTAATGAAGAAAGAACCAAGTGCTGCTCTCTGACCAAGTGAAATCTATAAAAGGCAACACTACGACCCTTTCACAGCTACTTTAAGAGCCCCCATCCATCACACACATTGGTGGGTGTCCACCCCACACCCTCCTTGGGGCAGCTCTCCCCATGGCTCTGCTGGGGCAGGGTCCCAAGGGATGGGTGCACAGGCGCTGAGCAGGTGGCTGTGCTTGCTGCCTCTCCCGCCTGCTGCCCCGTGCCGAGCCGCAGGGAACTTGTCAGGCCGAGCTATTGTCACCGAGCGCAGATGTCGCCTGGGCAGCATCGCCCCGCTTCGCCCAGTGGGCTGCGGCTGCTCACTGCCGGAGCCGGTGTGAGGAGCATCCTGTTGTTCACAGGGGCATCCGCCTGGGCTTCCTCATGCACAGTGTCTGTTTTTTCCACCCACCTTCCTCAGCTGCTCGTGTAACCAACTGCTTTCTCCACACGGCAGGGGTTTTGAGTCATTCTCGCCGTGTTTTAGCATGTTTGCTGGCTTCTGGCTTGCTCAGCGATCTGGTGATTTCACCACACACTCAGTATCCAGTGGGACCCCAAAACGCTGTGCACAGAAATTCCTCCCTCCCTGCCCCTCGGTATGAACTCACACCAAACCGTTTCCATTTTGAAAGGCAGTACCTGGTTGTGTGCTCACATACAGCCTCACTGCACAGTGGGTTTAAACACAAAATGTTCTTTCCCACCCCCAGAGTCCCATGGCAGAGCTTCCCTGGGCTCTGGGCAGCCCTGTGTCCCTTCTCCACCACCGTGGCTCTACACAGCCCTTTCCCTGCTCTCTCCCAGCCATTCCCATCACTCCCACCTCCAGCTTTGCTCTTTATTTCCATTCCTGGCTTCCTCCCTTGTTCTCAGGTTTCTGTGCATGGGCAGAGGTCTGGGATGTCTCTTCTTGCTGATCTGCCCCTTGCACCACTCCCTCCCCTCGAGCCCCACCAGCTCCATCCACACTCAATCCACCAGAGCCTTCCCACCTCACTCACTATGCTATGACCAACACAGCCAGAGTGTGAATCACACCCCCGTGCATTTCTGCCTCTGCCCACAGTCCATTTTAATCACAAGAAGGAAGACACTTGGCCAGAGAAGACAGCAAAGAGCCAAGCATCAAACACCCTCATCAAGAGGAGCCAGCGCCACAGGGAGGTATTCATTTTGCAGCTGGAAAGCTGCATACTGGGCATCAAAAGCAAGCAAGGAAGTAGAAGTAAACCGAGATGGACAAGGCTGAGGTGGGTTCTCATTCTTCCCCCCTCTGAAATAGCGTGCAGTGATTGGTGGTGTGTGCTTTGACCCGGTTTCCTCTGCCTTAGCTCCCGCTTGTGGAAGTCCCACCTGTGCTACAGGACCACAGCCTAGATCCAGAAAAAGAACTGAAAGGCTCAGCCTCCAGAAGAGAAGAGAACTGCCTTCACAGCTCTGTCGGTACCTGGCAGAGGGAACACGGGGAGGCAGCTGTCCATGTGAATTTTGAACGGCACAGGAAGATGAAAGCTTGAACTGGGGAACAGGAGGTTTATGTCAGACAGGAGCTTCCTCTGCCTAGGAGCACTTTTAGAGTCAATCATGCAGAGGAGCTTGGGAACTCCACTGAAGGTTTTTAGACAGCTGTCCACAGTTTGAAAGAGACCTGTCGTGGCACAGGCTGCTTCATTTTCCCTTCCTTACTCAGTATGGCAGCAAAAAGAGTGTGGTGATTTCACTTGATCACCCCCCTGCCCCCATGCAGCACAACTATATCCTTTCTCCTTTGAGCACTTGGCAGAGACCAGAATAGAGAAGGTCAACTTCATAAAGATCAATGTAGGAAAGCCACAAGCATGACAAAGCAGGAAAAAACCCTAAAACCCCATGATTTCTACCGTTGATGAGTTTAGCAAAGGATCGTGTTTCAGACCTCCAAAGAAGTCCTGCAAGTGTCTTTTTTCCTTGGAACACTTCACTTATTCCAGGCTCTCCAAAACATTTCAGCTGGGAAGGGTCAAAATGGCTTTTTCCTTGCTTGGGCCCTCGGCAATGATCTACTCTTGCTGCAGAGAGATGTAGCACAAGGCATGTGTGCACTGGGCTTGATGACTCTAAATTGGTGTCTCCAAGTGAAGCCACTAACCCTGATGTGCCAAGTTTGGAACCAAAAAAACCTCCTTTCCACCAGCCCCACACCTGCCGTTGGCTTCCTGCTAAATAAAGGGGTCAAATTCAATCTGAAAGCATTCCTGATGAGCAGTGTGAGGACACGGGAACCTGCTCAGCCCCTGACAATCTGGAAGCGATGCCGGGTACAACAGCTGCTCCGCTGGAGCACTGCAACAGCAAAGCTCCCCAGTGCACCGCGACAGCTTCAGCGCGCGAGTCCCCGACTGTGCAAACTGCTTTCAGAATCAATTACCCAGCTCAGCCTCTTTGGGCAAGATGCAACATCCCGCTTCTGCTTCCTTCTTTTCCCTGCATCCTGATGAAACAGAAGGCAGAGCAGTGTTAGGATGCCATTTTAGCAGGAAAATGAAAAGGGACTCCTGACTCCAGGCAGAGAGCAAACATGCACCCATGCAGAAAGGAAAGCCAGGAGCAGGGTGCTCAGCAGCTGCCAAATGACTGACCAAAGTTAATGGTTGAGGAACGGCACAAGAGCAGAAAGATGAAGTCTGTGACCTGAGAGAGGGTAGTGGGCCACAGCCATGAGCAGAAGGGCAACATGAAGACAAGACATGGATGCCATGAGGAAGAGAAAGAATGTATTAAGAAACTGCAGGAAAAGCATAGCCAAGTTCTGTTTTGAAGCTCTGTTCAGGAGAATCCATGAAGCAGGGTGCAGGACTGCAGCTCCCCTGACGTGGTTTTAGATGCCGGAACCAAAACAGGATGATTTATCAACAGATGGCTGTAGTCTATGTAGTGTAGTAGTGTAGTCCCCTACACCTCAACCATGCAGATAGCCAGGTTCCGACACTGCACCCCCCTACCCTGTGTGAACCTCAAGGGTAGAAAAGGCATAAGAAAAGAGGTTTGACCAAAAAAACATGAAGGAGCCCTGTTGTCTTCTCCCAGATCTGCAGCTCTGCATCTGCAGCATCCCTGTCCCCTCTTTGTCATCTCTGCCCCCAGAGGCAGTGCTGAGCACGCATTTGGAAGGGACAGGGGACGAGCTGGTGTGGAGGAGCAGCACAGCCCAGAACTTCTGCCCATGAGCTGCAGGCAGGGACCTTCATCACAGGCTGCCTCTGCGGTGCCTTTTGTCTGGACCTGGAACTATCTTCAGCTGTGGCAAAATCCCCTGTTTTCTAGATTTCCACTGAAACACAGCACTCCCCATGGCCCATGCTGTAGCCACACACAGAGATGGGGTCAGAGATGCTGCTCACCCATCCCCTCCTAGCAGCGTGCCGGGAGCAACCCAACACAGGCACCCTCAGAGCTCCCGCTCCTTCCCCGCAGTCTGAGGGTGAGATTTGAAGGCTGCTTTAATTATTAACTTTGTTTTCCCTCTCCACTTGACAGAGCTGGCTCTTCAGAGGCCAGGAGCAGCCTTACGGAGCACCAGCCCTGATGGGACCGGCCATGGGATGGCACCAGCCATACCCACCCGCGGCTGTATAATCCCTGACAGGCTGTTCCCATTACCTTTAATGGGTATGACGTTTGCAGACGAACAAGAGAAGAGAGTCTATTGCCTTTATATTATACCACCAATTAAGTACTCAGGGTCATGTCCTCAGCTGATGTAAAGTAGATGAGATACACTGAACTTAATGGATCTCTGCTGGTTTACACCAAATGAAGGGCTGGCCTTGTCTCTCTTGTATTAAAACAGCCGAACCGTTCCAGCAGTCTTCACGTTTAACAGCTTCGTGCTCCAGCCAGGCTTTTCTATCACTCCAGTCCATAAACCACAAGCTTTATTAACTAATAATTAGTTTTTCAAGTTAAGTTTCACAGTCATGTTTTAAGAACTGCTGCCCTCAGGGCAGGTGGAGAATTCTGAAGGGGCTGGAAGTGGTGGGAGGGAAAGAGGAGAAACATCACCAGGCTGCTCACCATGATGCAGAGGGGCTTTCCACAGACGTTTTGGCATCTCTGGCCCCTGAAAGTGCCTGGGAGTTTAGCATCTTGAGTTCATAGTGTTCAAGCTGAGGCATTCCTCCTGCAAACACAGAGCTGATTTTAACCACACTACCAGCCCCACGGGTTCTAACAAGACTCTTGAGCTGTGCAAAAATAAGCCTGAGTGCAAGTATCTGCCTGAGTATAAGCACTGGGGATCACCAAGTTTTCAAATAATAGCTGAATACCCAGAGCATTTCTGGCACAGGGCAAGCAGGGTGATTTGGGAGTACATTCTAGCAGCTTTCTTAATTTTCTTTGCAGTTGTACATAACTGATCACTGGGCAGAAAAGTGGTGTGATGCTGGGCCACATCTGTCCCTTATGTGCTGCACTCTGCATACTCTGGTGTCTTAAACATGCTGGCCCAAAATACAGGAGCTAAGCTTGAGAAGAAAGCTGGATTAAACTATAAATATTATTTTTCTAATCACAGATAGCTGACTCTCACATTAAAACACAGCTTCCCAACCAGCACACAGCTTCAGCAGGCACGCAGCTTGCCACTTTTCTTCCTCCTGTACCTGGATTGAATAAAGAACATTTAGAGCATTTCTGCCACTAGAAGGAATAGAATCAATGTGCTGTACAGAACTAGGGGGGGATATCACAACAGCCTACCAACACCAATGTTCTCACTGAGGAATGCAATACGGATAGCTCTTGTGCAATAACTTAAACAGTACAGATTACTACTTGGGGAAATAAAAGACAACATAACTTTGAAACTTGAAAAGCTCTTTTCTTCGTTGTAATCAATTGCAATAATCCATGTCAGTGATTTAGATGAAGATCAACTTTACCTTTCTTTGCTGATGACACAAAACTAAGAGCAATATAAAACTTAAGTGCATTTGCGCACAACTAATGGATTGGATGTGGCATGTGCCAGTGGAAGTCAGTATGTATAATGCAGCATATACTGGATGCCAAATTAATGGGATCATTTAGGCATTCTGGAACACTTGTGGCATTGAGCTTAAGTCATTTAAGGAGCCTGGCAGGGGTTGATGACCTTCCATTTTCAATAAGCCAAAGAAGCCTTGTAATACTGTAGGCAAAACATGACAATGAATTTTATCCTCTCCATCCCACTGCTGTTTAGTCCAAAGCTAAAAGAAAATAAAACCAAGACAGTGAGACTGTACCTGGTGTCCCTGATAAGAAGTACATAAAAATACAGATTCACCTGCACAGGGAGGTGGAGGTTCAGGCATGCAGACAATGGACCAGACACTGCCAGGTTTGCATGGGCACTCCAACCTTCCTGCTAAGCTTGAGCACCTTCCCTGGGCCACCAGGTTCACACCAATCTTCCGTGCTGCCCACTTCCTAGACTGATTAGATCCCAAAGGAAGGTGATCATAGCACAGAAGGAAATGCATCTCACTGACAGCATACAATTATGCAACGAGGTGCAGAGATTCATTCAAGCTGCTCAGATGAGCAGCAGAGCTGGAGGCTGAGCAATTCTCCCTCATCCCCATTCTCTTTCCATAAACTACAGCACACTGCTCCCAAATGCCAGCGAACAGTCCCTCACTAGGACGAGGCACAGGTATGAGCTGGATCTAATCCCTGTAGTCCTGCCACTGGGCAGAGCAGCCAGGAAGGACCCAGCAAACACCACATGCTGTTAATGTCCTGCTCGCACTCACTCCTACATGCCAAAGTGCGTGATACTCCCCAGAGAAGCAGCAGCACTCAGCTGGACCCCCAGGAGTCAAATACTTCCAGGTTCAGGCTGGAAAGTTCATTGAGGATCAACACCCTTGTATGTACCCTTGATGTCTGTATAGATTCTCCAGATGTTACTGGGAGATCCAGAGGCAGATTTTGCTGGGGTTTTACTAATTTGACTGCTTAATTTTGAAGGTATTTTGAAGAATGGCCACGGGCATTTAGAGCCTGCTCAGCAAGCTCAGGCCACCGCTCAACAGAGCACAGTGCATAGATATCCAACATCCCAGGGATTCACTGGGCTCAGATCACCCGGCACAGAGTGCAGCAACACATCGCTCCCCCAGAAGAGCTGGAACATTCACCCGTGCTGCCTAAAGAGCGTGAGACCCATCTCAAACATCCCTGCTCACAGTCCCCAGCATTTCCACCTCTGGGCACATCCTAAAAATGACACGTGGACGTCTCTGACTGCACGGTGCAGAGATGCCTTTAGGCAGCTAGCTCCTATTTTCTGCAACAGCTTGGAAAGAGTATTTTATCTCTTATCCTCAAACTAGATTCATGGGAGCAAAATATCTAAACACCTTTACTGCTTCAACCTAAACAGCAGATTTTTAACGCACCCGAAATGCCTAGAAATGCAGAAAGACCCTCCAAAAAAGGGGGAAAACACATAGATGCCGAACTGCAACCAACTGCGCTATAGCCCTGCCCGTCAAAGCTGACTGAGTGCCTCCAAAAGGCAGATTTAGATCCTGAAAAACAAAAGGGCATGAAGGAGAAATATTTATTACACTGCTTGTGAGCCAGGAAAAAGTTAGGAGCTTTGAAGATGCCAGAGAATGGGCAAGGGAAACATGCAGTAGTGAAGGAAGATGCCCCAAGGAGCCTAAAGCAAACGGTGTGGCTAACCCCTCTCCCAAAATGCCCACCTGAAGAGAAGGCAAATACCTTCATCCACCTGGTCCGACTTGCTCAAGCAGCACAGGAGGAGGGGTTCTACCAGCTGAGGAGGAGCAGCCGTACAAGTAAACACTCACCTGGGTCAGTCAATGGCCCTTAAATCATTCCTCCTCAGTGCTGGGGATGGTTTCAGTGCAGAAATACATATTTGGAGGAAAATTCATAGGTGTGAGATGTAAATCTCAGTATTGTTTATGTTATAAATGAGCTAAATTATGACCTAACTGAGCAAAACACTTCAGTAAACCAAGGCTTTGAATATTGTGTAGTTTGCATGTTTAACAGGACTGGGCTTTCATCATGGAGCGGAGGAGGAGAGCTAATAACCCATTGATTTCAAGGCCCATTTAGGAAAAGAATTGCCTATAGAGATCTGATCACCATGCATTACTTCATAACATCTAATACCCTGGGCACGAAATAATGCTGAGATGTGCAGATTACAGAGCCATTTTTATCCTGAGAGGGGTTGTGCCTGTGCATGCAACCTGGGGCTGCTTCGGGTTTGGGCTGAAAGCAAAGCCAGGAGGGACTTGGAGGGATTGGTTTATGTTTCTTCACATGGCTCTGGTCACCCTGAGCTCTGCCCTGGGCACCCATCTGCTCAGCCCTGCACAGGAGATCACTTGCACATAGCATCAAGAAATGCTCAAAAAGTGACCTGACCGAAGTTAAGTCCCACTGATAGCTCAATAAGCCTTAACTCTTGCTGCCGTTTTCCATCCTTTTTTCAACAAACACTGTATCTTCTGGGCTTAAAACTTCCAAAGGAGGGGATGTAAGTGTACAGCGCTGGCTTTCCAGAGCACACACACACAGAGACAGCTTTTCACTTGGAGATTTGAGGCTGCTTTGGAAAGACCATCCCAATGCTAAGAATTATCAATTTCATAGCAGCACAGAGCATCAGCATATTAAACCTCCCAACTCAATGAGATGTGCTGCATCTCCAGCTCTCTCAGACCACATCTCTATCACAAGGATCACACTGACCGTGCTCAAATGACTCCCTCAAATGTGCCTTGCTGCAACACAGTTACAGGAGCTGCTGCTGTCCTCACGCTGCTGCACACCACCGGTACTTATCCTCTGCTAAACTGAGTATTTTAAGAAGCCTCCCATGGAGGTAAAGGAGCATTTTGTGAAGAGTGGGGGGTAGGATAAACCCTGATCCAGAGCCCGCCCTGCAAGGAGCCTGTATCAGAAACTGGGAAGTCAAGCTGCTGCCCATACACAACGACCCAACTGAGGTCATCCACCACACAGCCCAGGTGCAGTACTTGGACAGGACAGCCAACAGGATCAGGACAACAGCCAGACCACCCCTAAAAGGTGCCTTCTCCTCTGTGGGGCAGCCACATCCCCCAGGATTATCACAGTATCACAGTATGTTAGAGATTATGTTCCTTGGAATGGAGAGCCTCAAGCTGGTAGGGTCTAAAGCCCATGCAAGCCCCTGTGGTGGCTTTGTCTGTTAGTGGACCTTCAAGAGTTACACAGCAGGGACCATTAGACAACCCTGATGCACCCAAGTCAGGCTGGCAGGGAACACTGCTCTCACCCACAGAGAGGGAAACATTGTCTATTTGTTCCCACTGGTGTTTCCCTGAGGCTCCAACAAACACTGGGTTTACTGAAGAGAGTTATTGGAGGTAACCCCCACTTCTGTCCCCTTCAGCACGACTGCTCACATCAGTACCCCTGACCACCCATGCACTCCGGCCTTACATGACGTGGATGCACGAGGCAGCCCTTCTCCCCTGCACTCAGCGCATCTCAAAACCTCCAGACCAGCTCCTCCAAAACAAAGACACCAGCCACAACCCCCGCAAGCCCAAGCACGCAGCTCCCACTGCATAACCCCCGCACACACACATCCACCCAGCGGCTGTTCAGATGGCTGGAAGGGCTTCCGAAGTCCTTTGGCAAGTTTGGGGTGCCCTGAGGCCCAGTCCCACTGATGGCCAGCAGCGGTGAGGGACCCCCGGCCTGCCTGGGCTCCAGCTCAGACCTGCTGGGCATCACTGCTGCTATGAATAACAGGGCTGGAAACGCTCCGTGGCTTTGCGCTAGGTCCTCGCCTGCCACAAAGCTGATTACTGCAATATGCAGCATCATTATATGCTCTGCAAATACACAGCTTCTGGCTTACAGGGATTTGGGAAAAACTGCAGGGAAATCAGGAATACAGAAGTTTATGGTTGTGGTACGCATGAAGAGTTACAGAACAAGGCTGGCTTGAAAACAATTCGGTTTATAGGTGTTAGGGGTACAGATGTAACATCAAATACACGTGTGAATATGGGTACTGGTTATTCCGACCCCTTGAATTATTCAGAGCTTGACTCCAGAAAGCCAACACGCGGGTTTCTCCCGGTTGCTCTGCAAACAGTATCTGGGTTTCCTCCCCGCTGCCCTGTGTGTAGTGCAAGCATGTGGGTGGCAAACCCAGCACAGACCCCCCAGCAGGACCCACGGCCCGGCCGCTCGCTATCCCATGCGTGGGGAAAGGACACGGGGAGGGGCGGGGGTATGCGGTGGGGCCATGCACTGCGGGGCCCTGTCGCTACTGATACATCCCCGCGTTGGGTTTTCCCCCCTCCTTCCCTACCAGACACTTCCCCCCGATCGCTGTTTTCTGGAGCTGGCTGCACATGCCCGGCCGGTGCTGGGTCCCAGCATCGTCACCCACGGTGGGGAGGATTCGTTCTTGCTTTTTGGCCTCTGCATCTTTCCCCCTTACAAACGAAATTCCGGCTACAACCCAAGCCTGTGCCTCGCGACCGCTGAGAAAGGGACTAACAAGGGAAACACTGTTTTAACCCGCATCCTGCATGGCCGTCCCAGAACAGCTGCACCGCGCCCGGGCAGGGGAACAGCCAGGCCCGGGAACGCCGGGCAGGTTCTGCCGGCTCCTGGTGACCGGGACTGCGTTGCAGAGGCAGCCCCGGGGCCGGTCCGTGCCTGAAGCAGCTCTGGTTTAGGAAGACGTCGTTTTTGCAGCTTTCCCCCTTGCTGGGTACCGGTTAGCTGGAGCCGCAGAACTACGGGAGGTTGTGCTTCAAAAAAACCCACAAAAACAACGCTACTCCTTCCCCCCCGAAAAAGAAAACCCAAACAAGCCAGGGAAAAAAAAAAAAAACCAAACAAAAACCAACCCCCAAACAAACAAACAAAAAAAAAACCAACCCCAAACGAAAGCAAAGCCACAACCAGGCCCCCCTCGCTCCGAGGGCCGTTAAACGGGATCCAGGGAGCGGGCACACCGGCAAGACACGGTCACGGCCCATCCTCTGCCAGCGCGGTTCCGCGCAGCAAAGGCAGCGAAAACGAAACGCGATGAGTGCCGGCCGGGACCGGATTCGGTACCGCGGCCCCGGAGGGGAAAAAATACCGGGGACCGGTGGGGCCTCGCACCGGCCACGCCGCAGGCTCCTGCGCCCCAGTGCTTTCCCGTCCGCTCCAACGCGGCGTGGCCGATGCTGTCCCAAACGCGGGGCTATTCCCCGCCGGTTCCCCTCGGCCCCTGCAGAGCGACTGGGAGCACCGCGGACAGCAGCGGCGGAGCCCTGCTCCGAGCCTGTCCGGCGACCCCGGTCCCTGGTCCCTAGTCCCTGCTTCCGTCGCGGCTCCGTTCGCGCCGGCTCCTCACCTGCACCTCCGCGGAGCGGTCCCGGCTTTCCCGGCGCGGCGGCAGCAGGGAGTGGAGAGGCGTTTTTAAAGAAAACGTTTATTTACACATCTTGGCAAGTACAAAGTATTATACATGGTCTGTGTCAACCCCAAATCTTCTTTATTATGAAACATAAGGCGCTTTCTCTAGAGTCGGCGGCGAAAGGAGAGGGTGCAGGTGCTCTTTCGGTACGCTAAAGCTCATCGGCTGAAAAGGTGAGGACAAAACCCGAGTGTGTGCTGCCTGAAAGGAGCCCTTATTACTACGGTGAATAAATTACAGCTGACATTAACTTCACCTGGGACAGATGGAAGCTACCGCTTTTCAGCTTAATAGGGTTTCCTAAGCTAACGAGTCATCACTGGCTCCACTCGGTCCCCTCCGCTAAGTGATAGGTAGGTATTTTTGTTTCTTTAGACTATCCTCAGAACAGGGGAAAAAAAAAATAGCCTTTTGTTCCAAAGCCAACACAAAATACCTATGTTCAGATTTCGATATAAATAATCGAGGTTTTATATAATTCCATATTAATAGTGCCCAAAATCTCGATGCATAAATAAATTAAATTATTAACACTTCTTACAAAAAGTGACATATTTCCCTTCCTAGTGGAACATCGACACGAATATACAAGCGGAGCGTGGGGCCCCGTGACGGCAGCGCCCGGCGGCTCCGCTCTGCTCCGGGCCGGCCTCGGAGAAGCGCCGCGGTGGCCCCGGCCCCGATTCCGGTCCCAGCCCCTGTCCCGGTCCCAGCCCCGGCCCCGCGGGTGCCGCTCGCTGCCTCCGCGCCCGCCCCGTCTGGGTCGAGCCGCGGCCCCGCGGCGGGGGGGAGCCGCCGGCCGAGCTCTGCGGGCGAGTCCGCTGCGCGCCCGGGCTGCCGGGCTCAGACGAGGGAGGTGACCGGGGGGATCTTGGCGCTTTCCTCCTCCCAGGGCTGCAGGTTCTGCAACGCGAACAGAGACGAGTTGTGCAGGCACAGCGGGTCCGGCTGGATCGACTCGTTCAGCGACTTCTGGAAGGCGTCGTGCTGCAGCTGCAGCATCAGCCGGCTCGCCTGCTGCCGCTCGGCCTCCCGCTCCTCCGCCGTCTGCCGCCTGCCGAGGGACACGCTCAGCCCGCGACCCGGCCAGCCCTGACCGCGGCTCCGCGCTGCGGCCGGAGCATCCCCGGCGGCCGCCTCCTCGTCCCGGGCGGGCACCGCCGGGCCGTGGCAGCGCTCGGCCTCTGACGGGGGCGGCGGCAACGCCGGGGAACCCCCCGCTGACCGGGAATTCCCTGATCCCGAATATTCCCCGTTCTCCCCCGATATTCCCCTGGGTTGATTTGTTTTCGTTTGGTTTTTCCTCTGAATAATTCCCCGTTTTTCCAATAATTCCTAGGTTTCATGAATAATTCCCGGTTTTTCGATTATTCCCTCGGTTTTTATGAATAATTCCCCGTTTTCGATTAATCCCTCTTTTTTTAATGAATAATTCCCCGTTTTTTTAATAATCGATCGTTTTTACAAATAATTCCTCGGTTTTTAAATAATCTCTCGGTTTTACAAATCATTCCCCGTTTTTTGAATAATCCCTCGTTTTTTACGAATATTTCCCCGTTTTTCCGAATAATCCCACGCTTTTACAAATAAGCCCCCATTTTTTTCGAGTAATCCCTTGTTTTGATGAATAATCCCCCGTTTTTTCGGATAATCCCTCCTTTTCCGAAGGGGGGACCATTAAAAAATAAAGAATTGAAATCATAATTATAATGATAACGGTAATTACAGCGCGAGTCTGACAACATCGATCCACCCAGCCGTTTCACTGCCGGCAGCCGGCAAGGGGCCATCCCTGCCGGAGCCGGGGCTTGCCGGGGGAGGCTGCGGCTGGACGGGGCGGCCCCGGGGGCGCAGGACTCACCGCCACTTGGTGCGCCGGTTCTGGAACCAGGTCTTCACCTGCGCGTCTGTCATCTTGAGTGACTTGGCGAGGGCAGCGCGCTCGGCCGAGGCCAGGTACTTCTGCCGGTGGAAGCGCTTCTCCAGCTCGCAGATCTGCACCCGGGAGAAGGACGTCCGCGGCTTCTTGCGCTTCGGCGGAGTCCGGTTCTGGTAGGGGTGCCCGATCCGCCGGGTCACCGTGAAGGGCGTCAGCGCCGCCGCCGCTGCCCGGGTGGGAAGCACAGGGGTCAGTCCCGCTCCCGCACGGTGCCAGCCGCCCCCCTGGGGCCGCTACTCTGGCCGACGGCCGCCCCGACGGCCCCGCAGGGACCGCGTCTGCCCCTGAGGCGCCGCTGCCCGGTTCTGCCGAGGGAAAACGGGGGACGAGCGGGGCTCGGCCGCCCCCATCGCCCCCATCCCGGGGATGCCGCGGTCCCCACGCCGGGAGGAGAGCGAGTTTTGGGACGGCGGCGGGCGCGGCCAGGGTAACCGTCCAGCGGGCAGCCTCGGCTGTCATCACGCTGCTACTACTGGGGCTATTTCGTTTTGTACCGTTTGTTTGCCTCTCCGTTCGTTGCCGGGGGATGGGGGCCGTCCCGCTCCGCCCCGGCGCCTTACCTGTGAAGCGGTCCTTGACGAAGCGCCTGCTGCTCTCCATCCAGGGGAAGTTGAGGCTGCCCAGGCTGGGCACGGCGGGCATGGCCGGGATGGCGCTGGAGATGGGCGGTGGCACGGCCCCGGGGATGGGCCTGTGCGCCGGCACCCGGATCACGCCGGCCGGGGCCAGGCTGAGGTTCACACTGTAAGATCCAGAGTCCTCGAAGGGCGCGGCGATGGCCGGGAACGGGGCCGGCAGCGCCGGGTAGGGCGCGCCGCCGCGGCCGCCGGGGCCGCCCAGGAAGGCCGCGCCGTCGGGGCCCCGGGGGGGCGGCGGGGCCGCGCTGTCCTGCTCGGGGCTGTTGAGGATCTGGTCGATGCCGAAGCTGATGGGCTCGTGCTGGCCCTGCGCGCCCGCCGGCGGCTCCATGCTCCGCCGCCACCGCCGCCGCCCGCCCGCCCGCGCGCGCTATAAAGGCGCCGCCGCGCTCCGCGGCCCGGCCGGACCCGCCGAAACTTTGCCGCGCGCGCGCCGCCCCGGCAGCCGCCCCGTCATCTCCGCGGGGCCGCCGCGCGCCCCGCCGCCGCGTGCGCACCCCCTCTTCCTCCTCCTTCCGCCACCGCCATTGGCCGGCAGCGACCGGCCTCTGCGCTCCCATTGGCTCCCGCCGCTCCGCACCGGCCTCGCGCCCAGGCGCGGGGACCCGCCGCCGCCGCCGCCGCCGCGGTGACATCACTGGGGGCGCACGAACAATGGCGGGGGCGGGGCTGGGGCCGGGGCCGCCGTCGGGGCGCTCGCTGCGCTCCGTCCCCTGCCCCCCGCCCGCCCGCAGGACCCGCGGCCGAGCCCCGCTTCCCTCGACGGCGGCTCCGCGGGGCCCATCCGAGGCGGCCCCGCGCGCTCTGCGGTGCCCTACCCGCGCCTCCCCCGGCCCTGGCCGGCGGCCGCCCCGACGGCAGCGCGGAGCGGCGGGCAGAGGCGGTGCCCGGAGCCACGCAGGGAGAGATTCCGTTGTGCGCCCGGGCGGCGGGAGCCCGGCGCGGCTGCGGAGCGAGTTTGCAGACGCTCCCTAATGTCCAAATTGGACTAAAGGCGTTAAAAATTAAATAACGCTCAGCCGCATTTACTTAGTTTCCCGCTTATAGAGGGAAATGAAAACAGGGAATAGAATTTCCCTGTTAATAGAATGTAATGGCATTTGATCAGCACCTGGCAGGGCGATCCCGGGATGCCGGAGCGGTGACAGGAGGGACTCGATTACTTTTTAAAGCTTAGGATTCAATTACCGCAACGCACCCAATGGTTGCGGCAGCGGCAGAGGGGCACGGGCCGACCCGCAGGGAGGCTGCTGCTCCCCGGGGGAAGCCAGGGCCGGGCTGAGCCGTTCCCGTCCCGCACCGGGCGCGGCCCCCGACGGCCGGCTCGGAGCTGCCGGCGGAAGTTTCCCGGCGCGGCGGAGGCGCGTTCCCGTCGGGGGGTTCCCCGGCCCGCAGCGCAGCGGGCACCGGCCCCGCCCGGCAGGCGGTGACACGGCTGCAACCCCCACACGCCCCTTCCCCGCGGGGGGTCCGCCCGCTGCCACCCGCGGCCCCGGGCAGCCTTAATCGGATTGTTCCCGGTCGGTGCGGCGGGGGCGCGCGGAGCCGCCATCCGCGACCGCTTCCCCGGAGCGGAGCGAATCGGATTGACACGATCGCGGCAAGATGGTGCGGGGCCGCCCAGAGGCAACGGGAATGGGCCGCGGGGCTCCGGCCCTCGGGGGTCCGGGCCGGCGGGGAGGCGGCGGGAAAGAGAGAAAAGGAGGGGAAAAACCCAAACCCAAACCCAGAAAGGAGGGAACCGGGGGAGGACAAATAAATAAATAAATAAATAAATAAAGTGACACCGAGTCCTGAATCAGGGCAGGCTTTGTTAGAGAAAATTGCAGCTTGATCTGCATAATGGGAACGCGGGCTGCCCAAGGCTATCTTTTTATTGCATGTGTGTCTGCTGTTATCAATTTTGTGAACGATTTCACAGGGAGCCTGGCAGACTTGAGCTGGAATAATATGCAAAGATGAGCTTTGAATAATGAATGATGTGCTTTTAAACCAATTCCAAAGTGTCTGTGATAGTACAATATGAAAAGGGGTGATAAGTAATAGTATATTTAAAAGGCGCTAGTATGTTTTTATTACTATATTTAAAAAGATATCTATATTATTTTTGTGAAATGGATAATATATCACAGAGTCTTTGATAATCAGCTAAACAATACATTTTTCTTTGGGAAAACTCTCCTGGTTTTACACAGTTAAATATAGAGTATCAGCGCACAGCTTTGTAACGCTCGGCTATCTTATTAAATATTAACTCTATTTTAATATTAGCTTTTAAATTTAATATGTTGACGTTCTGCAGTTTTACTTTAATTACGTTTTATAATTAATAACCCGAGACCTATGGTGTCCTTAAACGCGGCTCCCCCGCAGCCGCCCCGGCTCCCCACCCCTCCGCGGGCAGGGGCGCAGCCCCGCGGTACCGCTCCGGGCCCCGGGATCGCTTCCGGAGGGCTCCGAGTCTCCGAGCCGGGCTTCGCTCTCGCCGCCTCCCCCGGAGCACCCCGTCCGCTGGGCGAGGAGCGAGCGGAGCCACGGCCCCGAAGGTGCGGCCCCGGTACCCACTCCCCCCCCCGGTCCCCCCGGCTCGGCCCAGCGCTCCGGCCCCCTGCAGTGCCCGGGGCCGAGCAGGATGAAGGGCACCACCCGTGCCCAGGCTGCTCCTCGTAGCAGGGGAGCCAGACCCCACTCGGGCCGGCCCCGCTGGGCAGGGGGATGCAGTGAGACCCCCTCAGCAGGACCAGGGCACCTGTAGCTTGCCCACAGTACCCTGTGCCTGCGAGCTGTCCATCACAGGAGTGCATCAGTTAAGCCAGGCTCCGGTCATGGCGTAGCATGGACTTTTCATGGCACGGCACGGCAGGTCAGGGCATGGTGCAGTATGATGCAGCACAGCATGGCCTTTGCTTGGCATGGCATGCAGTACCAGCCACAGGCAACCTGCTGCAGGGGTGCCGCTAACCCAGGCCCTGGGGAGTTCAGGAAAGGAGAGCTCTGGGGCAGCTGTGGAGTGAGAGGTGGAACACTGTCATTCCCTGTAAAACTCAGGCAGTGTGTTGTACAAGTGTTCACAGTGATGTGGTGCCAAGCGTGGTGCCAGCAAAAC